CGGCATACGCATGAGTCGTTCGTCAGCGAAGTTTCTTGGCAGCGTCTGGTTCAGAAGATCCTTGATGTAGGATTTCTGTCCCCTGAGCAGCGCCCCTTGCAGCTCGTGCGCCTGCACGCGGTCCGCCGTACGCTCTCCTTCGAGAGGCGGGATTGACGGCTGGGATTTGAGCAAATCCTCAAAGCGCGTCATTGGCTTCGCCCGTTTTTGCTGAAGCTCGAGAATCGTGATGGCGTCGCTCTTAGCAGCCAGATGATCCACGAACTTGTCCTTCCAACCAGCGAAATGCGCCTTGTTCCCGTGGAACTGCAGCCTGCTCATGTTGGTCTCAGAAGTCTTGTCCGTCTTACTTAAAATGTTAGAATGAACGCTGTAGAGTAGCTCTCAAAACAGTTTATCATCACATCGGAGATGCTTACTTCGACAGCCTCCCACATCGAGGAATGTGTATGATGCTCTATCTGTCGGATAGTATTTAATGTACCACAGGTGGCTGTTTATAACAGTCCTGTACGTACATGAGCATTTACAGGAAGTAGATCTTGTTTTGATATTGATGATCTTTTTCCTTTGACTTTCATTGTCAGATTTGTCACCTTGTGCCGTTTTGCTTTGGCAATAACTGTGCTGATTTCTTGTTTTCATTGTTATTTTGGCTACTCAGGAAAACCTTAGAGGATTAAACCTGTTCACCGTAGTGATTGTTGTTGCTATCGTTTTAGTTATACGAATTTGTAGCAGCTACCTCAGGGAAACCTTTAATTTTAAGGATCAAAACCTGTTCGCTGAATTGTTGCTGTTATCGTTTTAGCTTTACGAATTTGTAGAAGCTACCTCAGGAAAACCTTTAATTTTAAGGATCAAAACCTGTTCGCTCTGTTGTTGGCTACTCAGGAAACCTTTGAGGATACACCTGATCACCGTATTTATCTTTATATATTTTGTGTAAGCGTTTTAGCTTTGTTCATTTCTTAAACTGCCATTGTTTTGCTCTTTCATATGTGGATATTTCTTCACACTGTGTGGTTTGTTTTTTGTTTTTCGCTGCTGAGGTCTTATAGACTTGCCTCCCAATTTCATGAAATGGTTGATATAGGTGCTGCAGTCATTTTCAATTTGTTCTGACTATTGTTATTGAGAGCTTATAGTTTTCACATATTTTTGAAGAAAGGCTATAGCTTTTAAAAGCATAAATAACATCAAACAGTGTCATCGGTAGCGTACGCATCATATTTGCAGTAAGTGTGCAGGCTCTCGTCGTTGGGGTTATTTTTCTCCCTAGAGGCTCATCGAGTTGTTTCTCGTTTGGAAGTTTATAATTTTATTTTTACTTCGCAAGCGCTAGCGATAGATTTTGCAAACTATCGAATTCATTGTAGATGGAATTGATGCAGTAAATCTATAGTTTGCTTTCTGTAGACAGAGGCTTCTGTAGGCTTGTCTTGTAGTCATAAAGTGTTGAATTTTTTTTCTCATTCTTTTGGTACTGTTATGCTGGAAATATTTGAAACTTTTGCCAGTGACAATAAATGTTAAAGTTTGGCGAATGCATGAATAGTTTTTGGCGTTGATGCCTCCCAGTTTCATACATTTCATTAAGTATTTCTCTCTCAACGTTTGGGGTATATATTTTTTTTCTTCGTACAAGCTAGGCAGCCTTTGTGAAATTTGCAATTTTATTTTTGCATCTTGCAAATTGCATGTATGATTTTATTTAAATTTCTTTTGTGAATGTGGCATAAATATGTTTTGAGCAGCTAGGTAACAATGCTTGCACCAAAAATATTAGGAGCACACTTCACTCACATTTTATCTAGCTCACAGCTTTGAGGTAATTTTCTCCCTGGTGGCTCTTCGGATTGTATTCCGGATTTTATTATACTTCGAAGTAGTGAGAAGCATGCACACTATTTAGTCAATTGACAGAGACATTGCTCATGCAAAAAAGTGTTATTGCTTCGTAGGCTCAATACGCAGTGCGTATGGTACGGAGTCCAGGGAGATTCTCTTCTGGCTCGATACCGCGTGGCAGACGTGCTGCTCACCGCGTGCAGCTCGTTTGCTGGCGTAGAGGGCAACATGGCCTCCCAGCATGGCGATCTATTGCACATGCAGCGCTACAGCTTAGTGGCTGGCGCAAAGTTGGCAACGTGGCCTAACGCAGGCAAGTGTCCGTCCAGCGATTTCTCACTCAGGTCTCCTTCACCTCCTTGTGCCCCTGGTCATTCATGCGGCTTGGAGGTGTGTTGTCTTGCAGCGTCCAGCTCGCCCCTGGAGAAACGTTGGGCTTATAACCTGTTGGAGGGATGATTTGCGCAGAGTTGTTAGGGCAGTACAGTACGGAGTGAGGACAAAAGTAGAGTGGTCTAGGCGGCCGTAGTGGAGAGGAAGTCTTGAGTGTAGAAGGAGAAGACGCTTGTGGTGGACTTGGTAAAAGAAGAAGTGATGAATTATAGAGTCTGGTGTTCTGGTGGGGGGGGGTACTCTCCACCAACCAGTCCAGTTATGTACGATTTCTCTATATGAAATAGTACAGTTATATTCCACTAGATAGTCATCATCACATCGGAGATGCTTACTTCGACAGCCTCCCACATCGAGGAATGTGTATGATGCTCTATCTGTCGGATAGTATTTAATGTACCACAGGTGGCTGTTTATAACAGTCCTGTACGTACATGAGCATTTACAGGAAGTAGATCTTGTTTTGATATTGATGATCTTTTCCTTTGACTTTCATTGTCAGATTTGTCACCTTGTGCCGTTTTGCTTTGGCAATAACTGTGCTGATTTCTTGTTTTCATTGTTATTTTGGCTACTCAGGAAAACCTTAGAGGATTAAACCTGTTCACCGTAGTGATTGTTGTTGCTATCGTTTTAGTTATACGAATTTGTAGCAGCTACCTCAGGGAACCCCTAATTTTAAGGATCAAAACCTGTTCGCTGAATTGTTGCTGTTATCGTTTTAGCTTTACGAATTTGTAGAAGCTACCTCAGGAAAACCTTTAATTTTAAGGATCAAAACCTGTTCGCTCTGTTGTTGGCTACTCAGGAAACCTTTGAGGATACACCTGATCACCGAATTTATCTTTATATATTTTGTGTAAGCGTTTTAGCTTTGTTCATTTCTTAAACTGCCATTGTTTTGCTCTTTCATATGTGGATATTTCTTCACACTGTGTGGTTTGTTTTTTGTTTTTCGCTGCTGAGGTCTTATAGACTTGCCTCCCAATTTCATGAAATGGTTGATATAGGTGCTGCAGTCATTTTCAATTTGTTCTGACTATTGTTATTGAGAGCTTATAGTTTTCACATATTTTTGAAGAAAGGCTATAGCTTTTAAAAGCATAAATAACATCAAACAGTGTCATCGGTAGCGTACGCATCATATTTGCAGTAAGTGTGCAGGCTCTCGTCGTTGGGGTTATTTTTCTCCCTAGAGGCTCATCGAGTTGTTTCTCGTTTGGAAGTTTATAATTTTATTTTTACTTCGCGAGCGCTAGCGATAGATTTTGCAAACTATCGAATTCATTGTAGATGGAATTGATGCAGTAAATCTATAGTTTGCTTTCTGTAGACAGAGGCTTCTGTAGGCTTGTCTTGTAGTCATAAAGTGTTGAATTTTTTTCTCTCATTCTTTTGGTACTGTTATGCTGGAAATATTTGAAACTTTTGCCAGTGACAATAAATGTTAAAGTTTGGCGAATGCATGAATAGTTTTTGGCGTTGATGCCTCCCAGTTTCATACATTTCATTAAGTATTTCTCTCTCAACGTTTGGGGTATATTTTTTTTTTCTTCGTACAAGCTAGGCAGCCTTTGTGAAATTTGCAATTTTATTTTTGCATCTTGCAAATTGCATGTATGATTTTATTTAAATTTCTTTTGTGAATGTGGCATAAATATGTTTTGAGCAGCTAGGTAGCAATGCTTGCACCAAAGCAATATTAGGAGCACACTTCACTCACATTTTATCTAGCTCACAGCTTTGGGGTAATTTTCTCCCTGGTGGCTCTTCGGATTGTATTCCGGATTTTATTATACTTCGAAGTAGTGAGAAGCATGCACACTATTTAGTCAATTGACAGAGACATTGCTCATGCAAAAAAGTGTTATTGCTTCGTAGGCTCAATACGCAGTGCGTATGGTACGGAGTCCAGGGAGATTCTCCTCTGGCTCAATACGCAGTGCGTATGGCACGGAGTCCAGGGAGATTCTCCTCTGGCTCGATACCGCGTGGCAGACGTGCTGCTCACCGCGTGCAGCTCGTTTGCTGGCGTAGAGGGCAACATGGCCTCCCAGCATGGCGATCTATTGCTCATGCAGCGCTACAGCTCAGTGGCTGGCGCAAAGTTGGCAACGTGGCCTAACGCAGGCAAGTGTCCGTCCAGCGATTTCTCACTCAGGTCTCCTTCACCTCCTTGTGCCCCTGGTCATTCATGCGGCTTGGAGGTGTGTTGTCTTGCAGCGTCCAGCTCGCCCCTGGAGAAACGTTGGGCTTATAACCTGTTGGAGGGATGATTTGCGCAGAGTTGTTAGGGCAGTACAGTACGGAGTGAGGACAAAAGTAGAGTGGTCTAGGCGGCCGTAGTGGAGAGGAAGTCTTGAGTGTAGAAGGAGAAGACGCTTGTGGTGGACTTGGTAAAAGAAGAAGTGATGGCTGGTGGGGGGGGTTACTCTCCCTTAACCAGTCCAGTTATGTACGATTTCTCTATATGAAATAGTACAGTTATATTCTACTAGATAGTCACTATCACATCGGAGATGCTTACTTCGACACAGACAGCCTCTGCCTGCTGGTGCACTCTATCCAAGTGCTCGTAGGATCTGTTTTACTCTAGTACTCACTATTGCTTTAATGAAAGTAAGTCTTTTATTGTGTTGACACACTTAATTCTGTCCAGCATCTGTCTGGCCTCTACCGACTCTCGCCGACTCGGCGTCTGATCGCCATGCTGGCCAATAGATATTCCCGAACTAGACGTCAACACTTCTAAATCAGTCTAAACGGACGGACATGATGATTTCCAAGAGCCCCAAGACGGACAAGCGTCGCCAGTACCTCTGGATCGCGTACAACGTCGTGCTCTATGCTGTCATCGTGGTCTCAGGCGCCATTCTGTTCATGGTAATGGTTGGTATGGTGAAGGTCGGAGGTGGCGACAAAGACGTTAAGGACGACTGGATCGAGGTCAACTCGCAGATTCTCAATGGCGTTTTCACGTGGATGGCGATCACTAATCACCCGTTCTTCATCTACCGATTGGTCAAAATCCTGCAAGTTTTGGGTAGTCGGTGCTGGAACTGGGTCCCTGTCCTGGACAAGCGCGTTCGAGCGGCTCGGTACTTGAGTCGCCACTTCCCGCTCGTATTCGTCGACACAGAAGCTGTCTACAGCCACAAAGTCGAGAGCACGGAGGCACAGGGTGCTGCAGCGGACGATGGCGAAGTGTATCTGCTGACCGAGCACGAGGAGACGGAGACGCTCGAGGAGATCTCGTACAACCGGCGAGACGCCGAAAACCTGCGCAACACGTTCGTGATGCTCAACTGGAATTGTCTGTTCCAGTACCCGATCACTGCAGTCATGTGGGCATACGACGCCGACACGCGCCCTGGATTCGTCATTGGCGTCTTCCTGCCGCTTTCGTTCCTGTGCAACTTCGGGGGTCAGTACCGCATCTTCAAGCTCAACAAGGATATCAAGGCACGACGCAGTAGGAGAAGCAGTCTCTGCCCATAACTAGTGCCTTGTAGCTTATGACACGTGATCGGACATCATTATCAACAAAACGCTTGCAAAAAGCAATTGTAAATCTCACGCGCATTGGCTGGAAGAATTTTACTGCTTCGCGACTTCAATTATTTAATTAGCAGAAAGCCACTTGTCTGGTCATATGGATCCTGTCCTCGCTAGGAAATCGTGCTGTTAGTAGAAAGTAATCAAACGGCTTTGTCGGTGCTGTGTACTCAAACTGCCAGCTTCAGTATATAAAGCACTCCATCACCGATTTCTAGTCTCACAAGGCTAATAGATGCTGCATTTCCTTGCCTACCTCGCACTTCCGTTTCCGAATTCAAGCTGACAATGGCTTCCCCCGAGCCGGCTACTCCAATCCTCGGTGACACGTACGAGACAGTACGAGAGCAAAATCGATGCAAGAATGCCGCGTTGGCCGTGTATACATGTAACACAGTCCTGGAAGCCGTGCTTGTCGTCGCTCTTGGGATTCTCCTGGGCGTGAAAGCTGGCCTCCTCGATGTGGGCGACCAAGCTGCCCAGGATGACTGGACAGAAGTGTCATCGCAAGTTCTGAATGGAGTCTTCACGTGGATGGCCATCTCTGATCAGCCTTCCTATATCTATCGCTTGACCATGACATTGCGCGTGTTGAGGGCAAACCAGACGGAGTCGGGTATTCGAGCAGCTCGGTACCTGAGCAAACATTTCCCCGCAGCTTTTCAGTGTAATGTCGGCAGTCTTGAAGCTCAGAGCGCGAACATGAACTCGGTCAGAATAGAAAATGTTGAGTGCATCAACAACATTTCATTTCTTCGCAGCGATGCCAAGTACCTGCGAACGGCTTACATTTACCTCAACTGCGGGTGCTTTTTCCAGTATGTTATGTCGGGCTTTATGTGGGGCTACGAAGCTTCTTCGCGTCCTGGATTTGTGCTGCCTGCTCTGCTTCCACCAGTCGCACTTTGCAATGCCGTTGGCCAGTATCGATTGTATACACTCAACAAGCGAACCGAAAAAAAAGGTGCACCATTTCCTGGAAACCTGTCAAGTACGCGCAGCTCAGTGACATCTCCTCGGTCATCTCTTTAGGCGATCCGCCCGTAATTATTGGTCTCAGTTCGACACAGCCTGTGTTCGTTCTGTTGCTGTAGTTCCGGCTATTTAGTGTATACCGCTAATAGTTTGCTTCCAATCGAATGAAAAAACTGCAATACCGGTATTTATTGCGTTTGTACTCAATCAATTCCCTATTTTAAAACTACTGCTTTAGCTAAAACAAATACTGTAGTACCTCAAAGTTTAATACTTCGAAGTATTAATACTAGTAGTACTAATACATAGTGACGAAATACTATATATACAGATTAGACCGCACAAGCATGTATATACCGTAGTTTCGGAAAGAAAACAGGCAGCATCCCGGTCTTTCTTTTCGATTTACTACCGACAGGACTAAGGACAAATAGCTATTACAGCGCTTATTGCGGTATTTTTTGGCCTAATTTTTTAATACAGAGCACGATAATTGTACCCCATTATTTAAGGTGCCGCGCTAAATACAAGAACTTCAACGAGAATCACCTAGTGAGCTACAAAACTATTTAGAAGCCATTCACAAATTAGTACATGTATTATAATTGTTCATGCACCCACTTCAAAACTGATGCGGGAAAAACTCTTTACTTCACTGTAAATAAATAATATTTTAAACCTTGATGTCGATCCAGAAATTGCAAATCGTTGGTACTGTAAACAGCATCTCGAACACTACAATCGGCAAACTTGCTCGATGAACAATATCCAGCGTGTGCATGTTTCTCAAATGAGACTGCGTAAAACAAAATGTTACTTATGAGCCTAAGTACGAATCGCGATTTAAGCACTCTAAACGAAAGCGGGGCGTCTCCTCTATCTTTTGAGCCCTTATAAGCTGCAGAAGGCTTAAAACGGAAGAAGTTGTGGTCGCTCAAAAATATTATCTTCATTTATGGGCCCTCGAAATGACGATACATTTAGGAGTGTTGCGAGCTCAATATTTTTTCAATTTTAGAGATTTAAGTGTTATTTAAAAGCTCCTGTTAAAAGCAATTGAATAAGGGTAGTTCTACAGTTTCTTCGAAGGAAGTTTACAATAAATGTCACTGTTTCGGTTAAGTGCGAAAATCAATTGGCCAACTTTAAGCTCGATTATCTCTTGTTTGACGCAGTCTCAAATGCGTCAGTACTTAGATAAATGACTTCACTTCCAAACAAGCGACCAACAACTGACACTTACTGCGTCATCCGCAAGCCACTGAAATGGTCTCTCGCGTTGATTCGCCACCAGCACCAGTTCTAGAATGTGGATACGAGCCCATTGCCGACTCAAAACAGCGCTGGAAAGTGGCGTCGATGATCTACCACGGTGTGCTCATAGGTGTCATCGTCGTCGCTATTTTGACTCTCGGCATGGTCCAAGCTGGAATTGTAGACGTGGGAGACAGCGACGACAAGGACGATTGGGTAGAAGTGTGTTCGCAGATCATCAACGCTGCATTTACGTGGCTGGCAGTCACGAACCAGCCGTTTTATATTTACCGATTTGTGATGACAACGATTGTGTTGAAAGCCAGTGGTGGAGATCAGAACGTGGGCATGGAGTCGGACATTCGCGCTGTCGGCTATTTAAGCAGGGTATTCCCACATGTATTTGTAAGCAAACGTGCTATTGCCTGCGAGATCAACGCAGAGCTTGACGAAATCCAGACTTTGTCGGACGAGAGCGATATCCGGGAGGTCGTGGATTTTGTATTCTTTCGCAACGACGTCAAGTACTTGCAGAATACGTTCAGCATCTTGAATTGTGGCTGCGTGTTCCAGTACGTCATGTCGGGATACATGTGGGGCTACGATGAATCCTCGCGTCCTGGATTCGCTCTACCAGTGTTGCTCCGCCAGCGATTCTCTGCAATATCGCTGGCCAGTATCGACTCTACCAACTCAAAAAGAAGTGCGAAGGTCGACAACTCAGATCTGCTACGGTTACCGATGAGCTGTCAAGTGCTTAATTAGGTACGCAAGATACATCGTGTAGTAAAAGATCCTGCTTTACGATCAGGATCAAAGCGAGCGTTGCTGACCTGCGAATATCAAGACTTCTCTCAAACATGTTGTTAGTAGGTTATATAGTATTGTACGTTTCATGCATTTTGGCGGAGACCTTGCTTATCTCAACGACTTATCAAAGTTGGAACAGCGATTTAGTCACTTGACGAGTAGCATATTTAAGGGGGTTGACGACTTTGAGGACGAGTTGGGCTCAGATAATAACGAATGGCGGACATTCGAACCGCCATTCGCTGTCTAAACTCATTAAAGTCTCTGATATCAACTGCTCAAGGCTCTGACAAGCATGACCAAGTCAAGTGATCTTCGTTGGCGGGCGGTATCATTGATACATGTTTACGACGTTGATATCGCGCATGTTGCAAGCATTCTCGGTGTATCGAAAAGGTCCATAGAGAGGTGGTATGGGTGGTTTCTCAATCGAGGTACTGTCGAAGGAAAGGGTCGGAAGCAACGCACGTCAAGATGGCCGCAAAACGTGTGCCATTTTGTTCGTGAATATGCTCAGTCTCACCCGTGTTTCTACATCGACGAGCTGCGGTCAGCACTGAGAGCTCGCTTCCCTACACTGAGAAATACATCCGAAGCTACTATCTGTAGAGCCCTCCGCTTCGACCTGCACCTCACGCGCAAGTTGCTCAGCAAACGGGCAAGGGAGGCAGCTCCGACGGAAATTGCGGTGTACTACAATAAGCTACTTCCATTTTACAATGGACCAGAGCAGCTCGTCTTCTTGGACGAGACAGCGAAAGCCGGTCGTGACTGTATGCGTCGGTACGCGTGGTCGCCGAGGGGTACCCCTGCCGTGGTGGACCTGCCGTTTAGACGGGGTGAGCGTGACTCCGTGCTGGCTGCAATGGATACAACAGGGTTTTTTGCTTGGGAAATGACGTGGGGGACGTTCTCGCGCAGAGAGTTCCACAAGGCTTTTAGTGAAAAGATTGCACCATTGCTAAATCGGTGGCCTCTTCCTAGAAGCATTGTAGTTCTTGATAACGCAAAGATACACATGTATCGTGAACTGGAGGAATTAGTACACTCAACGGGTGCTCTACTCTTCTTTCTACCTCCGTATTGCCCACAATTAAATCCTATAGAGGTGTCATTCTCTCTACTCAAGCGATGGATCATCAACCACGCCAATATGGCATTCCAAACTAACCCCGAGGCCGTATTAGAGGTTGCATTACGAGATTGCACTCGTTCTAACGATTCTATAGGTAAAAATTTGTATCGAAAATGCGGATATTCAATAGATTTAGTTAGGTATGTATTTGACGATAGAGCAGATAGTACTAGATAAGTTATACTACAGCTTGCCTTCCATCATCGTCTACTCCGTCTTCTTCTATGTCTTCAGTGAAGTCGTCCGCTCTGTCATCTTCTAAGTCAGCATGATCTAAATCAACTGCGTCTTCGGGTACGGCAACGGTACGTACTGCTCGTTTGCGAAACGGCGGCCGGAGATCATATCCTGGTAAACCCAAAACTGACCGAACCTCTTGGATGTTTAGGTCGATAGGTACTAGCACGCCGTTAATCATGATATGGATACGACGAGTCTCCGCATTTGCTGCGCTTGTCGCCGCCGCAACTTCGTGCTGGTGTTGTCGAGCGCGAGCGTCAATGTAGTTTAGCTGACGGAAGGTCTCGTTGTTCGGTTGAACAACTGGAGCATCGTCATGTTGCCGCGCTTGTACAGTTGCCCAGTACTCGAGCGATGCTGGCCCTGGGGCCTCTCGGTTTTCACTTCTCAAGGTCTCCGCTATATTGCGAGAGGCCTGGGCCATACGGACAGCTGTTGCCCGATGGATTGGGTTTGATTTTTTGACCCGGTTGACGTACATGAACAGAGCTAGCCGCTGGCTTGGACTCTTTCTTCTACCCCACACCTTCCGCAATAGCTGTGAGAACGCTTCTGCGTCCTCGGGTAGACGCTTGTAGTCACTTTGTCGGGCGTTCACAGTGGCTTTAATGTAGACGCCAGCATCCGCTGGCCAAGTCACAGCCGAGTCGTCCTTCACCAAGAGTCGCAGCTTCTCCTTAAGTACTGCGTACCCTTCTTCAACCGAAAAAGTCATAGCACGTCGCGATCCGTGAACCGCTCTACAGTCTGTTAGAGGCTCTCCGATCTTAAAAGTCACCTCTGTGTCGCACTCGTGGCGAAGCTCGCGTAGAGCAGCCTCCATTCTCTAGTTGCTCTCGATGATGAAACTTTTCGTCTGAATAAAAAAACAACGAGTTGGTCGTTTTATGGAAAGCGATTTATGTAAATAGCAACAACGACTTAGACAGCGAATAGAGCGCGCAAAATCAATGAAGTGGACAATACTTAAGTACTGTATACCAATGACTACGCAAGTGTCAGACCGTTAAACATTGCTGTTAGCATTGATACAGCTGAAAGCTCAGTTTGAGAAGTTCAAAAGAAGCAGTGTTTTAATTATAAAAAAACTAAGTACATTGTAACATAGCTTAACAGCATATATATATGTATTTTACTAAACCTAGTTTTTCTAAAAACAATTATACGTTGTAACACATGTATTTTACAGTACTACGTAGTACTTTGTAAAACAAACAATGCTTATGCTCTTTTACCATTTAAGGTTAACAACTTTTGTAATTTAAATGTAATCTAGCGAATTCGACGGGGTAAGCAGCAAAATCTAAATATACATTGTGAGAAAATATGCATTCTTAAATGCAAATCTGAACTACATAGCACAACACGAGGGATATATCTTACTTAACAATTGGAGGTGAGCACAAAATAAATCGTGTTTGAATAATTCGAGATCAAGTTGCGGAGGACATCGTTGGGTTACTAATGAAAGAGAAATGATACTATAACAGTAGGTTGACGCCTCACTCGCTGTTCGTCTGGACGTGATCCAGAACATGACCGGGTTCCAAACTAATAATGTAAATTAATGTCTCTTTTAAATGATGAAATGCCCCGATACGCTGTGCCACAACGATCCTTTGTTAATTAACTGTATAAACAGCCTCAACTCTCACTTCATTTCCAAAAAAACAGACAGAAGCTCACATCGAAATACCAATGTACCAGCCGAATCGAGCGCCGGCATCAGCTACGCCAATCCTCGGTGATACTAATGGACATTCCACCAACCCGGGTTGGGAGCGGAAACTCGCAACGAAAATATACAACACAATTCTGGAAGCCATAATCGCTATCGCAGGCGTAATTCTCTTGCTAGTCCAAACAGGATTGCTACCGGTGGGTGATAAAAGAGCCCAAGGTAGGTGGGTGGAAATTGCAACTCAAGTCAGTCTTCATGTGGAGGTCCATTACAAGTCATCCGTACTACATCGTCCGTCTGGTCATGACGTCGCGTGTGCTGAATGCAAGCGGAGAGCATGGTGACCAAAAACTGGGATTGGGTATTCGTGCTGCCCGCTATTTGTGCTCGAAATTCCCGGTCGTGTTTGTCCACAGAGAAGCCGTTTTTGACCACGACGTTGCCTGCATTGAGTCCCAACGTAGTGACACGAAGAACATGAAACCGTCTTTCGAAACCAAAGAAATTAGTCGCCTCGGGAACTTCCTGTTCATTCGCGACGAAGTCAACTACATACAGAACTCGCTAGTCATCTTGAACTGCGGTTGTCTACTTCAGTACCTCATGACGGCTTACCTGTGGAGCTACAATGCACTGACGCGTCCTGCGTTCGTGATGCCCGTGCTGCTACCACCGACGATTCTATGCAGTGTCATTGGCCAGCATCGCCTGAAAAAGCTCAACAAGAGGGGCGAATGCCGACGAATGATTCTTACTGACGGTGTTCCAGTATTTCGGGAACTCTCGACTACGCGAAAGTCAGAATCGCCACTTTAATTGTAGCCCCGCGTGCGTATTGTGTATATTCATGACTTTTTTTAAAATAAAAGTTTGAATACAGCAGATAATTTATCATCGCCGCGTCCCAACTCTTCTCTCATATTCTCTTTCAGAAGCAAGATGGCCAACGTCCGCGAGTCAAGCCTCGAGCTACTGTGTATCTGAGTATCCTCGTATCTTTGCTCCAGCCATTTCAAAGCGGTTGGTCCACCTCGCAGCTGAATTTGGCTCAGTTCCACGATACTACAGAGTGCAACTCCCGCCCTGTGGCTGCAAACACTTGTCTTATGTTTCCTGGCCATTCGAAGCTGGAATGGACTTTTGCAGTCAACGCGTGGATTTTCGGTGCGATGGTGGGCAGTCTATCGTGTGGCCGATTCAGCGATATGTGGGGCCGCAAGAAGCTGCTGTTAGGTAACTGTAGCTTTATCATTGTGGGAGCGGTAGTCCAGATGAGTGTGTCGGACATTTGGCTGTTCACTGTGGGTCGTCTCATTGCTGGCATTGCTTCTGGAGTGGCCACGGGGACAATCGGAGCCTACGTGAACGAGTTGTCGCCGCCATATCTTCGCAATGTTCTTGGACTGGGTCTCCAGATCTCAGTGACGTTCGGTATCATGATGCCAGCCGTGGCGTTCTTCTTCGCCAATACCAGCACTGGCTGGAGATTTATTGCCGGGTTTCCGCTGGTACTAGCAGCATTGTTTTTACTTTTAGCTCCGTCTCTTTGTGTGGAGAGTCCTGCGTGGTTGTTGATGCAGAACCGCCAAGAAGAGGCCGAGCATGTGATTGCTCGATTGTATGGAGTGGAGAAGGTTCGTGCAGTGTTAGAGTGGCTTGAGACAGAGGACAGTGAGGAGGCTCTGATCAGCGGGAAGCAAATGGAGGAATCCATGTTTGACACGAAATATCGACGACAACTCGCTGGAGCGATGCTACTGTCGTGTTCACAGCAACTCTCGGGAATTAACGCTGTATTCTATTATTCGAGCAGCATTTTTGCAGATGCTGGCATCTCCGATCCACGAGTGGGAACGCTAATTATCGATTTTATCAACATCTGGCCGGCATTCTTTACGGGATTTTTGGCTGTTCGTTTCGGGAATCGCACTATGATTTTGTGGGGATTGGCTGGTATGTTTGCCATGGCTGTTGGTATGACGCTGGCGTTTCTAGTACATGTGCCAGCATTGTCCGTGTTTTTCACGGCATTGTATGTGATCATATTTGGCGTAACGTTGGGCCCACTAGTGTGGGTCATGACGGCAGACATTTTTCCAGATTCTATCCGTGCGAGCGCTTCCTCGTTGTGTATTGGCATCAACTGGCTCTGCAATCTTGTTGTGGGGGTGTCGTATCCTTACTTGGCTGACGCTCTGAAGGACTACAGCTTCGTACCGTTTGTCGGATTGTTGGCTCTGTTTTACTGCATGGCACTACAGCTCGTGCCCGAGACGTCGGGCAAAACGAGTGCAGAGATTCAGGTGGAGTATGAGCGACGTCATCACCAGTGACACCAAACATGTGCCAACAAAAGCTTCTCAAATCAACAAACAATATAAAAGGTGTCAATTATGCAGCAGCAAGAAGGTTTTTTTTGCAACAAGATTTTTTTGCAACAAGATTTTTTTCGTGGTGGTTCAAACGGCCTTCTATTTGGGATATTTTATCCTTTAGAAGCCTTACTATAAAACGCTATTAACCCCTTCAAACCGGAGGATTTTGTTGCCTTTTTTCTAACCTACGCTGTATATACATGGTACGTTTATATGAGTTTCAGTATACCCTAGTGGAACGGAGTACTGTAGGATGGGACGTGTGAGAGTCCGTACCAGAAGGGGTTGGCTGTTTCCTTTTCTCCATACATAGGTGCCTCTATCCGGTATATCTACAGCTACGCATTAGCTATGTACGCTGTTACAGATGCGTCAGAGAGAGTGTTTTGCTCACATAACGGTTTTGGTTGCAGAGCCCCTTGTGGAGTCGGGCGAGACCAGCGGATCTGTAGAGAAATTATCTCTAAAATTTAAGAAAGCGTGCAGCAGAAAGGGGAATGATTTATGCATACTTTAATCAAGTATCTTGTTATCATCCATGCAGCAATCAATGATGACGATCGCAATTTTGAACCAAATCGAAGCTGCCAAATTTGGGATGACCTGTCTAATGGTTGTCAAGTGTCTAGTCTACTCCCTGTCATCAATGAAGCGTGAGCAAGTGAGGACAGTCAACTTGCTTGCACATAAAAAGAATGACCATAGATCGCACAGAAGTCAGCAACAAATTCACTTATACAAATTACTGCTTCACTTACTCAGAATCCGAAGAATCTTCAGAGACTTCAGAGGCCCTGGTGTCCACGCTTGGCTGGTGACTTCCCTGGAGATCCCGTCGTCTTTGATCCACGCACGCGGAACTTGCCCTTCATGTTCTTCGAGATTGCCTTGCCATTCTTGTAAACCTTGTGTCAAATATCCCAGCAATTCTGGACTCCATCCACTTCGGCCTCACGCACAAGTAGATCGGCCCCACAAAGTCACCGCTGTCACAGAAGTAGGTCGTAGTCGCCCCACGTTCGCCTTCCGTCCTCATAGCGCACACCTTGCAGTTCTTCCGCACCCTCTTTCTCTGTCCAGAGTGGTCACGCCAGTCCTAATTCTGCTTTGAACTGTGGCCTGTAGGCTCTGCGTCGGGAGCGACTTCTTCTTCTGCGGACACGTCTTCATCTGTATGTTCAGGTTAGACTAACTGTATATACACCGTAAGATATACAGCATACACCCTTACCTGGATTGAAAGTGTTTTCTTCGTACATGTCCTCCATGGTGAGCTCAATGAGCTGCTGATGCAGTCTGCACATGTACTGGACATGCGTCATGCCCTTCACCTTTTTAGTCTTGGAGTAAGCACGATGTATGATATACCCATTTGTGATAGCCATATCTACAAGTCCCAGAAACAACGACTTGTAGTACTTGCGGTAAGTTATAGACTGCTGGACCGAGTAACGCTGGAGCCGGAGTTAAGCATGGACGTCAACTCCGCCCATGAAGCGATGGTAATCCTTGATTACCTTGGGGCACGCAACTTCATTCTGCACACCACGCCTCTCTCTGCGTGCCACACAATCAAGCGTGAGGTTTCCACCAACAGAGAGAAAGCGAACAGGCTTGCTGTCCCACCAGCAAATTGCAGCCAAATTATTCATATGCTTTGAGCGAGCAAATGTCACTGACCCACGCGGAGTGTCCTTTGGTCTTGTTTTTTTATTCTTAGCCACCACTGCTTTACCAAATCCGCCGCGATTCGTCATAATTGTCCCAATTGTATAGAATCCCATGATCAACAGCTGTACCGCCAGAACGATAGAGGTATAGAACCACAAGTCTCATCGTCTTGTCACCAGGTTTGCTTCCAAAAACAGCTCGCAAATTCCTCACAACCGTGTCGCGATGCGCATTTTCCTCGTCAACACCACTTCCATATAAATCAATCACTGACGCATAATATACAGTATATGATACAGGTTAGGTGTAACATGTATGCATAATATACAGCATAAAAAACAACGTACGATCCTTAGCGGCGTGCCTCGTGTCGCTTCCTCCCTCTATTCTTGATGAATCCACTTGCTCTTGTCCATCGTCACCTAACATCGCCGGACTTTGTTTCTTCTTATTACTAGGCGCAGGGTCTTCTCCACTTGTATGAGAAGACGAGGCCTGGCTTTTATCGGGCTCTACATATTTCAGCACAGCAAATACGAAGCATTGTAGCATATACAGATTAGCATGAATCGACAGAAGGTTAAATATTCCTTGTAGCATACCTTCTGGTGACACCAGACTTGGTGCCGCAAGTTTTGGAGGTGGTGGAATTTTGGAAGCGCTTGCAGAAGATGCACTTGTTTTCAACGCTGTATCACACTAAAGTAAAATATACAGAATTACACATACAGGTTAATGATAAATTGATGGAGTGTACCCAAGCACCCGTACCTTTCGGACTTTCATGCGCTGCTGACTGGGATGAAGGTGTTCGCACTGGCGACGTGGCCGTCGCCATTTTAGTAGGGGACTAGACCTTCTAGCTGGGGACTTAGACGACGATCTCGTCTTCGTGGGCGGCTTGCGCCCAGGCGATTGACGCCCAACAGTCGATGCAAGTTGTGCAGTAGCCGCTTTAGCGGCTTCAGCTGCTGCTGTAGCGCGGACTCGGTCGATAGCTGACTGCTGACGCATTGTACATGCGATATAAGCCATTAGAATACAGATAGCATGACAATACACAAATCACTTACTTTTCAAAGCGTAGTCCACCACGGCTTGATCCCCAAGGACGTAGTCGAGGCCATCAGTGTCATTAGCACTACCACCTGGCACGATGTACTTCCATCGCGTCTCAATCCCGCGAGAAGGCGGTGCCTTGGGCGTCCATTCCAGTTTCTTAAACTCCGGCCAGATAAGACGGATGTGATTTGTCCCACGCTCTTCCTCGGGTACTGCCGCTGCGTCTTCACGTGGAGCGGTGTCACGCGTCCCCACCATCACTTTTCTCCTCCCCGCGCAAAATTTCAACTGACTGGCCTGGGTGATTTGGCGCGAAAGGTTCCTCTAAAATTCAATATTTTATCTGAATGATTGTTTCAAGCTGTCAGATCGCATTCCAAAAATCGAGAAACTGGAGAGTAGTAATGTAACCCCTACCCTATGTAGAAAGGCGATTTACCTCTTTTTTAGCTCCAAACCGTTATATAAAATTTGTAGACCGAAGGATGTGCAAACACCAGGGCCATAGTGAAAGCAATATTTCCTTATACTGTATATACAGCATAAGCCCTCATAACCAGGGCATCTTTCCGAATTCTAACGCAACTTATACAGCTACCAGTTTAAAGGGGTTTACGGTTCTCAATGTAGTCCGTCTTTCTGCTTGACAGAGGGTTTCCCTTTTGTTGAATTTGTTCCTCCGTCCGTTGAAGATACTCTTCGAATACACTTCGGTGGGTCATCCTGTTTGTAATGTCGAATACGTATGTTGCATTTTGGCTCATTGTAGCCAGTTTCTTGGCTGCTGTGAAGGCCGCCAGCTTCGATATTCTCCACGGTATCCTGAAGAAGGAGGCTAGTGCACTGGGATTACAGCAGTCGCTGTCATCGGCCTTATCTTCTGAGTCTTTTCTGAGCATGCTGGAGGCTCGTGAATTGATGGTATCGATCATTCTCTAAGGCTCATCTTGACGACAGATGGCTTGTCCTGCTTGTTCGAGGACGAAAGATCAAGCTTTGAGCGGGATTGCCGGTGGTTAAATGTGTTGCTACCAGCTACATGGAGCTTCCACACGTCTTCTCTTTCTTAAATGGTATACTATCCATCCTCCTTGGGACTCTCTTCCGGGAGGATTTTGCGCGTGGTAACGAATACGGCAGGTTTCCATATGTTCCATATCCCTTTCAGGATGAACAGATATCATGATTCTATGGCATAGTTCCAGGCACACACCCCAATTTCCGCTTTGATGGTTGCGCCTTCCATGGCTAGCTACCGCCATGACTTAATACGGGCTAGCTCCCCAGACTATGGAGACTGTTTCACTTTTCGATGTGTGTATTTCGTTGAAAATATGACGAATTCTTTGTCTTCATAGTATGACTGGGGTTGTTGTTGTCCATATTAACAATAATATCTCCAGTTCTTTGTCGTGACATTTTGTCCATCGAGTTATGCATTGCTGAGCTACTGACAGGAATTAATGCTGTCGCTGTTGGTTACTTCCTTGACGCAACGTGTTGCAGTAATGCCTTCGTTTGCTTAAGGTACAGTGGTCACGGTAATGAATCTCATTGAAATTGTTTTGTGTGGAGTAATTGTTTTATTTCACACAGCATTTGATCTCCGTGAGAGTATTAATGAAATCCCATTAAAAAGTGTTTGGTAAAATAAATCTCATTGCTATTATTTCATGTAGCCCTATAATTAACCTCACATCTACATGTCGGCATAAATTATTCCAGAATTTACAGTTACAGTTAGAACCGAGGGTTGGAATGTCACCGGACTGTGCAGTGGCAGAGAGAATTATTAAAAAAAACATCATGAAATGAAGAAGGCTTAGACACAAGTACATGCAATCATATAATTTAGAGCCACAGCCAATTGGTACTTTTGTTGGTATTATAAAAAAGATACAGTGAAACTAATCTGAAGTACGAACATCAGTGTTTACAGCCGAGCAACCAACGGATGCCAATTATTGGGACAGAACATTCCACAGAACATACATCACCACAGACCTAACTCTAAAAGGGACAATTGACACCCGATGCACTGTTGCTGTGGGACTTAAACTCACAATGCAGCGATTGGCTAGGGCGATCATTAACCACTGCACCATAAGCAAGCCCGATAGTGAGTACAAGATATCACCCACAACTGAGATTAATAATGAACTCTTAAAAATTTTGTTCACGTCAATTATTCTCAACAAACTTGAGTGAGAATATTTAGTGTATGA